ATCATACCACGCCCTTCTGTGTAAGGGAGGGAGGATTGATGAGTATTTGTCGAATGAACCAGTCAGATGGCCATGGAAAGATCAATGAGAGGATGGGAAAACCAGAAGAGGCTCCGAGAGCCCGGGGTTAAGCAGCTTTGGTTCATTGTGTGTAAGCCTCTCTTTACTTGGACAGCCAGGCGTAGAAGCCTGCTTCTGTTCATTGGCCTGCTGTGAACACTTCACGGCCTACCAGAGACAGTTCCACTGAAGGCCAGTCAAGGTTTCTCGGTGTCTACTTAGGTTCTAAACAGCTGTCCAGGTCTAATTAATATTCTGCAATTATATCTGGAGAGGGGCCAGCTTCTGAGACAGCTGTCTAAGTGAAAAGGAGATTTCGAACTCTTACATCAGCCGGGTCTGGGAGGCAAACTTCTCGGGTGATTTGAACTGTATTGTTTCAAAGTTCACTCAGCCTGAGGTTCATAGATGACTGGCATTTATGCCGTAAGAAGATCCTAGGTTTGATGGTGTGAAGTCTGGTCTTCAGGTTTTTAAGCAGCCTCAGTTCGTGGCTGAGACTCTCCTACGAGGCAATAAGAAACACAACGCTCACTGTTAGGGTTTAAAACATCACAAATCATTTCGGCGGATCACCCAATAATAACAACAAGGATTCAAATGGGGGCTTACTCTCTGATCCACGAGGGGTTTCAAATGGCAATTATCATTAATTCTTGGATTCCCTCCGTCCTGATAGAAAACCAGGGCAATCAGAAACTATCATTTTGCAAAGAGACAGCTATTAAAAGCACATTAATAATCTATAGTGGGTATAGCATATGCCTTTTAAGAAGATTTGCAGCCTGTTTCTCTGTGGCGAAGACACAGGACTTCTCCAACCTAATTACAAAGCAATCAAACAATTTAATTAATCTGGAAATCACTTTCTTAACAATAACTGCCTCTAAAATGAGGCGCCCTGTGCAGCGCCATTCGGTGAAGCACCGTTTTGATATACGGCCTGTTTATTAGGCCCGCCAGGTCCCCCGGGCCCAGGGAGTTAATTACCTGCCGCCGCCTGACCGCTGCCGAGGCTTCTTCTGCGGGTGGGAACGCGCTCCAAGGCCCGCCGCCCGCAGCCCGGAGCCGCGGGCTTTGCGGTGCAGGCAGGCGCAGCACATATGGGCAGAGAATTCACTGGCACCAGCTTTCATTTGCGAGCCTCTCAGGTATTGCTCTGCAGATGGGGAAGGATGGGGAGCGGTGCCGAGGAGTGAAGGTCATGCAGGGGACTCCGTCTCATCCGTCTTTCTCTTCCCGGGACAGCGCTGTGCTCATCCGCAGCAGGCTGGCCCTCGCCTCTGAGTTAAGAACATACAAGGCGTGCTTTTATAATTTGATCAGCTCTAAATCAGTGGTCATTTTGATCACTGTATGTGTAAAGAGTGTCCCCACATCTTCAAAGACTGAGTCGATAGCATAGAAATCAATTTTTATTTTAAATAAGAAAAAGAGGCGTCAAAGATTGACTTCTACCTGCCTAATCTGCTAACCTTGTAATTTCTCCCAAAGGAAAACTGAGGAATTTTTTTTTTTTTTTTTTTTTTAATAAGTGAACCAAGCAATATTGATAGATTAATATAGCAAAATAACTAAACTAAAAATATGTGCCAAAAAACAGGCCTGAGACTGTCTTAAAACTTCTGATATAATAATACTGTGACCAGAAGAGCGTAGCACTGGTGTAGCATGAATCAGTGTCATAGAAAAACCAGAGCACTGGAACCATTATAAATGCTGAATAGTATGGTACAACAGTAGAGTAAAATTTACTATATCATTTTTGTTNAAAAAAATCTGCAGAATACTCATCTACCCTTTTCCCCTGGGACCACCCCCATCCTACTTCTCTCAAAATCCTGTGCCGATGCGGCAGCCATCCTCCCAAACTACCTCCGTTGGAAACAGGGCCCATTTATAGTCTGTGACCGTTTTCATCACTTATTTCTAATTCATCACCAATTCTACTTGGTTTGCTCACCAAACAGTTTTGCTTTTGGCTTTCCATGTCTTAGCCTAGCTCCTCCTGCTTGGCCATTCCCTTGTCCATCCACCCAGCACACTCATGCCAAGTTAAAATCTCTAGCATCTCTCTTGCCTCCAAACGTCTCCTTAGGCCTCACTAGCTAGTACCAATAAGCGTAGTTGACAGCTCTCTGCTTTCACCCGTCTGAATTCCCTGCTTCCAGGGAGCCTGTCTCCTGCTTTGCCCTGCTGTGTTTTGATTGTCTCTGCCCCTCCCTGAAGTCTTTGCATTTCTTCTCTTACTTCAAGCTTGCTGAGCTGCCCTCAAATTAAGCTATAGTGTCTTGTCCTTAAGGAATTATCAGGCATTCTAGTTCACAACACCCTCATTTTCTCTACTAGCCCACTACGCTTAAGAGCCTTTGAGATAATGTACTGTGTGTGTGTGTGTGTGTGTGTGTGTGTGTGAGTGTGTGAGAGAGAGAGAGAGAGAGAGAGAGAGTGTGAATTTCAATTTAGTTTTTCAATCTGACATGATACAAGAAGAAAGATCTGAGGTTAGTAAGACAGTATAGATGGCTCTGTAAGTCTTGAAGTTGAAGATGTAGGAATTTGGGTTTTATAGCAGCGTAGGAATTCGTGAGAAGACAATGAGGAACATTTTCAACGGACGGGCCTGGAAAGGCCGAGCCTGAAGGTTAGAAATGGTTGATGGCAGCCTTGGTGGTGTGTGTGTGTGTGTGTGTGTGTGTGTGNCGATGGCAGCCTTGGTGTTGTGTGTGTGTGTGTGTGTGTGTGTGTGTGTGTGTGTGTGTGANTGATGGCAGCCTTGGTGGTGTGTGTGTGTGTGTGTGTGTGTGTGTGTGTGTGTGTGTGTGTGTGTGTGTGTGAAAGCAGTGTTAAATGAACCTGCCTCTGTATCTCTATGGCTGCCCATTCATTCTAAAGTGATGGGTCTCCATGTATTATGTTACCTGGCTTCCTGGGGACCACTCATTAAATCTCCAAAAGTAAAAAGAGTTTTAAGCTAATTCTCTGTTTTTCCCTCCTTCAGACTCTTAAATGTATTCAGTAAGCACTCGCCAGTTATTCTGCTTATCTCATTTGATTTCCAGATGCAGTGCTTTCTCTATGAAGAAAGAGCACAGGGCTACGAATTGGTGACAAGTTCCGTTGGCCTTGTTGTTTGTTCTGAGTGAACGGGGCAGTGGGGATTGTTCTGGAAATGCCTGGGCTTCAAACAATCATTATATTTCTCCTAATAATTTACTGGCAGTTTGCTCTCTATGGGGTGTGAGAAAAGTGAACACTTTCCCCCCAAATAAAACATAAAATTTACATGAAAATTTCTGACAGTAGATTTGTTTCTCTTTAAAAAACAAAATTTTTAGCCATCCTGAAATTACTGAGAGCTTTTAAGGAATGTGAAGAGTGATATACATGCTAAGTTGGGGAATAAAGGCTGCTGAGAGAACTTGAAAGCACTTAATTTAGCCATGTAAATAAAAGGACAAAAATAGTTCTGGATTACTGGATGGCAAAAGCCGAATCCATTTCTCCAGGGCCCAAGGAACAACAGATGCAAAGGCTTGATAAACCTGATTGCAGCAGGGGAAAAAAAAAATGCTTCTCGATTCTCTATCTACAAAGAAATGGGGTTTCTGGGCGCTCCCCCGTTAAATGGCTGTAATTGTGCTCTCTGTCATAAAGTTAATGGCATCTGTGGAAGGCATCACTATAAAATTTGCAACCTTAAGTTAATTGAAAAATTTCAGTAGAGGTATAGCCTGTCCAGAAGTCCTCAAGGTAACAGTAAACTTACCCTCTTTAATGTGTTGGTCCCTTCTTTTTGCACAAAAGTTAATACATTGTTTACCTCCGCAGCTAGGTACTGACTTTAACGTGCAATCTTGTATTCCTTACACCTAATTACAGTTGTCACTTCTATTGCAAAATCAGTAATGTGGCAACCGGCTTGCTGTTAGGGCTTAAAAGTATCTGCCTGGTTATTTCCTGTGTTTCAAGAACGCACAGCATTAGTCTGCAGCCTTTCCTCGCCTCCTCATTGAAACCAGCCACGGTCCCATCGGGCCCTCCGATAGCCCTGCCAATGTAATTAAACATGCGGAGGGAGGCAGGGTGGCCTGGAGTGTCCTCAGCTTCCCGCGCCAGCTGCCCGCCCAGCTTTCTCGATGATCAGCAGCCGGCGGAGCGTCCCGCAAGCCCCCGTGGAGCCGTCCTTACCGTGAGCAGTCCGCGCTCCGGCCCCTCAGAGGACTTGGGGAGGACACCCTCTGCCCGCCTTCGTGTGACGGTGGCTTTTAAAGGCCACTGGCGAGTCACAGCCCAGCTGCTTAGGAGCAGAGGGAACTGCTGAAGGAAGTATTGATGCGGGCTAATCCTACTGGACCCCTTGGCCGTGCTGACATAGATCTGGGTTATTTGACAAACAGGCCCGAGCTGCAGTATTTTCTGGCTAGTTCTAACATAGCCATCCACCTTTAAAATATGTACCAGGGAATATGAGGATTTGTTTTCAAGAACTCAGGCTTTTATTCAGTTTACTATAAATAAAAAATACTAAGGCTACCTTTCTAAAACAGCAGGCCCCTGCCCCCTGCCCCCTTGAAGCATACGCTTCCCCACCGCATCCTGCTGTTTGAAATGCTAGCACTTCTGGAAAGGTGAACATCAAAACATTTGTGTGTCCATCTCCTTATAGGACCAGAATATTTAGATTATTAAGTATGTGGAGGACTGTGATGTAGGTGAATGAGTTTATTCCTATGTCTTGCACACTTGGAGTGCTGTGCTGGAACCCAGCTCCCCTCCCCTTGAATTCCTGCTCCAGGTAAAGCTAAAACATTATCGGGGGATGGACATTTTGCAAAAGTGGACAGAAAGCTACTACTAAAACGAAGAATATTCCGGATGCGGTTGGTGATTCAAAAACAGTATCACGTTGTAAATGTTCTCCTCCTTTCTCTCCGCAGGCAATAGCCCTCAAGATAGCCCAAGAAATTTCTCCCCCAGTGCCTCAGCCCATTTTTCATTTGCACGGAGGTAAGGACTTCTTGTGAGTCGAATAATAAAATGTTAGGTAGAGAATCCTCCCACCCCCCAGCTCTCCCCTAAACCCCTGCCCTGTGCCCTCTGCCTGTGATTCCTGCTGGTTACCAGAAGGGGCCTTCTCTGAAGCTCCCCTGGCCAACGGTAACATTGGCCATCGCAGAGCTTTGTTGTAACACTGTTGCTGTAGCAGTTTTAATAATGATTGCTGCCTCACCTTAGAGTTGTCCGTACCCCTCCTGGTCCTTCAGCAGGTGGCGGCTCCCAGTGAGGGCAGGAGATGAGCATTTCCATCTTTTCTCCCTTGCCTAGTACAGTGCCTTATACATGCTGATGCTCAACAGAGTTTTAGTGAATTTTCTGAACTTGTAGTATAAGGATTTGATTCATTTCTGTGTCCTGGTGCAATTGCAATATTTTATTGTTGCTATTGTTTTTGAAATGTGCTTTTTAAAAAATAAAAATGACATTTTTGGGGTCACAAAGTATAAATTCTAAGATTCCCCTTTACTTGTGATCCTCAAGCCAGCGATTTATTGCTCCCCCAAGATAAAGCCATGCATGAGCCATGGGAAGTTTTATGTTTTCCTATTATAGTTAGAGTTGGGCACCAAATATCAAAGATGCATGTCTCATGTCTGGGTCACTCAGCCAAGAGGAAGTGTTGCTGCTCCAAGGAAAGTGGGCACATGATCTCATATCCAACCCTCTCAGTTCCAGATCTCCTACCATGATTTCGCCAGGTTAGAGGCGTCTGCCCAGCCACCTTCTCTGTGCTGTGTGCATGGAATTAGTGTGCTTTACCCTGTCAGCCTCACACCTTCACCTTCCTGGCCCCAGCACCCCTCTCACATACATGCCCTGTCGTTTTCTGCCCAGGAAAAACCCGCAGAAAACAAAATGCCCCTTCAGCCCGGTCTCTGAATGTCCTAGGTATTTGCCCAATTTTCCTCAGGGACCTAACTATACCTTGAAGTGGATTAAAGTAGCACGTAATAAAGACACATGGGTAAGTTTTAAAAAAATAGATTTGTTTTAACAGTGTCCTCACTGCCAGTTGCCAGCATGTAATGCATTTTATATTCCTACATCCAGAGAAGAGGATCTGTTGCAATATTTTCAGATTTCTCTGTAATTAAGATTCCGTGTAAACATTGCACACTCCCCACTGTATGTGTCGGTGTCCCCGTGTGTGAGGTGCTGGCCCTTCGCCATGGAAGGACACGGGAGTAAGTAAGACGTGATCTCCAGAGAACTTCCTGAGACCCATACCTGGATTTCCTCTATTCCAGCTTTTATTCTTTTAGCTCCTTATTTTAAGCACCGTAAAGAAAATAGGGCCTGGCTGGTATGGATCACTGGCTGAGCGTCAACCTAGGATCCAGGAGATCGTGGTTCAGTTCCCCGTCAGGGCACATGCCTGGGTTTCGGGTTCGATCCCCAGTGAGGGGCATGCAGGAGGCAACCGATCAGTGACTCTCATCACTGATGTTTCTCTCTCTTTCTCTCTCCCTTCCTCTCTCTGAAATCAATAAAAACATATTTTAAAAAAAGAAAAGAAAATGGGGAAATGAACCAGCCCTACAAGGCCTGTGTTTGACCAATGAATAACTCCTGGTGGTGCTATTCTTCTAAGTGAAAAAAATCTTACAAAAATTGACAAACAAGAACCCACCATTGTCTTTAAAACACATCTTTAAAAAAAGAAAAAATAAAGAATACATTTAATTATTTTAAATAATAAGAAAAATGCAATCTCATTACAGCCTGCATTTAAACATGCCAGAAACCATAGCCTCTTAATCCTGCCAGATTTATGAAAATGAAGAGAATCTAATAATTAAGTGGGTGACTGGAAGACAGATGAATCTGGTTTCTTTGCTATTAAAAAAAAATACGCAAACCCCCAGGCATGTTAATTTTTGACAAATAAACCATAAACCGTGACAGAAGATTATCACGGGAGACCTCTAGTTCATTTTGCATGAATTTCCAGATGGAACTCCCTCCACACTCTTCAGAAAGTATTAATTTAGATTAGGACATGAGTGATCATCTTTTTAAACTTTTATTCAAGTAAATAGAACCCTGTGTTTGCTATGAAAACTCAAATTGGCATATTTTTATTTCTCTAGGGTCTTTCTCTTCCATTTTAAAGCTGATTCTCATTTAGGAAACCTGGAGATTCAGCTCCTGACTCTCCATTCACTTCCATTTGGGGTGGATTTCTGAGCCTGAGAAGTAATGCCATTTTGAGACTCCTATGTTTTATTATTTTGTGTATTTGGTCCAATAGAGGAGAGAGTGCCCTGCTTTTAAAATTATTCTTGGGTGAAGGGATAAAAGTCAGATTATTAATCTTTTCTGACCTTATACCATGTGATAGATAATACTCCCCCAGTGGACATCCTCTGTAATGTAATAGTTTAATTTCAGACTGAAAAATATGATGAGACACACTTGCTTTCCATATTATCTGAATCATATTTAAGAGTAAAATTATCTAGTTAATTTTTTAATATTGAGTTGAAACAAATGAAAATGAGCATTGTAGTGTAGTTGATTTTGTCTGGAGCAAGGAAACACATTTTTACTTTGCTGACTACCATACCGATTCACAACCCATCTGATTGTGAAGTTCCTTAACTTTATTTTTTTCCTTGACGGTCAGATGGTGTTAATACCGTTGTTCTGCCGTTCCCAGAAGTTGTGGAGATTTATGCTTTATAAATTGCTCTCACTCTCATTGGGCATATGAGCCCTGAATACATGCCATGTGTGTCTCCTAGTTGCCTTGTTGTTATTTACCAGGTTAAACATTAGAATATATTTCCACAAGCAAAGGACTAGAACAGACTTGCCTGCTGAGTTCAGGTCAAAAGGCACTTGTTGAGCGCTGGTGGGCAGAGCAACCTACTGGTTACTTTCAGAATTCTTTCTGGAGTGAACTGTAGTTGGCAACATTATGTTAGCTTAGCCCAACTTGAACTAGAATGTAAAATGTATCACCCAGGTGACTATAACAATTAAACAAATAAAGAAGCCTGCTTCTTTTTCATACAGTTTTAACAGCCAGGTTGATATGGCAACTTCTTATTCTTTCTTTGTTGTACACCATATTAATCTAAATACCATGTTAATCTAAATTTTTGTGAGTGGTGTTGAGATTTTTTTTTTTTACACCCCCCCTCCCCCCAATCTCTTTGTATACTGTGTTCCCATCAGATTTTTTCCCCCTTCTTTTTCATTTAGCGGAAAGCTGAGCTTTCCACCCACAAAGAAAACACTCCTTTCCAAAAAGCCTTGTTGTTTTGGCAAGAATATAGTCTTGTCTTCAGAATACATTTTATTGGTAGCTACTGCAAAGAACAGACAGCGTTGTTAGCGGGTTCCAAATTGCACTTTTGTGATAGCTTTCATGAAGAAGAAAAAAAGGTATTTTCTCTTAAGTACTGTATGTAGCATATATAGTAACTTCTGATGTGCGGTTGTCATGGCAATAAAAATGCAATGGTCCTTTGTGCTCCATTTGAGTAAATAGACACGGACAACTTAGGGAACTTTATGAGACATAAATTATTTCTGGTCCGTGGCTGCACAAGGTCCCGAGCACATTCTTGTTTAAACATCTTCCTAGTTGTGTGTTTTCTGGAGTAAGCAAATGTAATTTATGCTTCAGAACTAATAAGAACATGACTCCTCTTGGAATTGTTCATTCATTTGAAATAAGTTCATCGATACCTGAGGGAAAGGAGAGTTAATGAATCACAAAACAAAATCATGGTGGGGAAATTGTGTCCCTTACTCTTTCCAGAGACTAGTTTCTGATAATTGCTATTAAATGGACTGAATAATCCTTTTATAAATCATATCCTTCTCTTGCTGTAAAAAGTTGGAGGTGTTTAAAATATAAAGTTCAGGCCTTGGGTTTTAAGTCTTTAGTAAGTAGCCACATAAAATAGGACCACCTTGTGCCCATTTCACTGAGAGTTGGGTACCTTTAGCAGCATGTTATAATTGTTTTCTTCTTAAATCTTGAACATTTTCAATTGTTTTGAAAATATTTTTAAAGAACATATGACTTGATTCTCCCTACTTCTTCTCTCTGGTGTATTTATAAACCTCTTATTTTGCTTCTTTCTCTTAAAACATTCTTGATTCCATTGTACTCCAATCGTGGTCACAGAAATGAAAGGTAAATTTTACTGAAATCTTCACGTTGTGGTCCTTCTGTGGCTCATCCACTTGAAAGTCTCCATTTCGTCTTTGTGGACCATTTACATTTCTTGGAGGCAACATCCATGGTAGCCTAGGATTATAGTTTCCCTGGAATGTAACTTAGGCTGAACTGTCAGTTTTTTACGTGAACATCTAATTGTGACATTTCTCAAGTTCGAGTCTAATGCTGTTGAATCCCTATCGTCAGCTTACAGTGAATGTGTCTGGTCAGTTTGGTCCTCGCATCTCTCACATGGTAAATTCATATAATCATGAACTACAAAAAGCCCATACATGACACTCCATCTGAGGATGCAATGTAGCTCCTTACAGAGGGTGTTTTTCCTGCTTTCTCCGTGGCAAAGTGCATGTATTTGTTTTCACAGGGTTACATGATTTTGAAGGCACAGTCTCACTTGAACTAACAAAGTAATGGCTCGGGAAGGCCAGAGACGTCAAAAAATTTGCTTTCTGGTGTCCCCTTGCCTTAAAACAGCATTGTCTGTACTGCTTCATTAACTCATCTGAGACCCTTGTAACGACCCTAATTCACAACCAGAGTCCAACCCAGAGAGCTACCCATCCTATCACGATTTGGAGATTAAAAGCTACCCCCTCTAAGACTCCTGGCAGCTTTGGCTGTGTGATTGGGGCTGACAACTCTACTCTTTCACTCAGTTCTGTCCCTAGAGCAGCGTTTCCATTCTGCACCCACCGTCAGCCGGAGCTGGGCCGCATACTCGTAAACCCTGCCAGAGGCTTTGGCCGAAGCCCCTTCTAAAGCCAGGTCACGTCAGAATGTAATAACGTTTAAGAGATTCCGAGCAGGAGGTCAGCCACTTTCTAAGTGCGACAGTTATTTGCCACTTAAGGCCTGAGCCGGCTGTGAGCCCGCTGCTCCTTCCTCCCCGGCACGTTGAGGGCTGTCCCCTTGAAAATAGCCGGTGGCCGTCTTTAGGATGCAGGGCCGGGCCGCGGGGCCCTGTGCGGGGATCCGGCCCTTCCAGAGGGCGCCGCTCTCAGCTTCCAGGTCAGAGTGTTTGCCGCCCCCCTTTCTGTTCTCGTTCATTTGAATCTGCTGAGTCTGACCATTGTAATTATCCTTCGTGTTCAGTTTGTCCAAGTGTATTAGTGAGAGATCAATAATATGGATCAACCCATTCACTTTTGCCTCGTTTGGGCATATTGATTCCGTTTCAGTAAAAGTCAACCTGCCGCACAGTGTTTGTTTATCCGGCCCCTCGCCGACCTGTGGCCGCTTGTTTGACTGGAAGCGCTTGGCTGCCCTGGGATTCCCGTGTCCCGCACTCCAGCCCTGGCTAACTAATCTCACGTTCTCCGCAGGACTGATGGACGCCGCTGGTCCTTGGCTTCTCTCCCCTCCTCTGGCTACGGGACGAACACGCCCAGTTCCACCGTCTCGGTAAGTGCCCCTGGCCGCCTACGGCCCTCGGGCAGGCGGTGTTTTCTCCGGGTGTTTCCTGGAGGGAGGGGACCACAAACGCTGTATGTCTGCCACCCCGAATAGGTTATGCAGCAGACGGTGAGCTAACACCCGCAAAAAGGACATCCTTTTTGCTGCAAGGTTTTAAGCACCGATTGAGCAAGTCCTAGGATCGCAAGTTTGAAGATCAAGAGCTTTTGTTTTAATACCATTTGGTGTAGTTTGGGATGGAAAACACAACCTCGTTTTATTGCTTTGGTTCCAAACCGGTGACATTAGTACTGAAAAGGCCGCTAACCTCATGGCCTGGGTGGCTTTTCCTTGTGGGGCTTAGATGCAGGGCATTTGTATATTTGTTTGTGTGTGTGTGTGTTTTGTTTGTTTTTCTTCTTCAAAGAAAAAAAATGACAACCCTTACATTGGTCTGTGCCTCCTGGGCAAGAGCCTGCTTTAAGGGGCGAGGAAGGAGCTTAGCAGGAAGTTAAGGTAGAGAGAGGAGAGGAAACCGTGAGCACGGCCCAGGAAGGCTCCTCTCTCGCTCCAGCTGCGGTGCCCCAGCGGGAGCCCCGGCAGTTGCTGGAGAGGAGTCTGTGGGTTCGGCACACGCTTCCTCAGTGTGAACCGGAGATGCTGCGGGGTGTCCGCCTCTGCAGAGCCCAGAAGCCGACGGTCCCTTGGAAAGACCCAGTGTGTTGTAGGTGCTCAGTGAGGACCTCACAGAGACGGCCGAGTGCCCCGAGCCGGCCGCGGGGGCCCCGATGGTCTGAGAAGCCGTTTCACGCGGCCCCGTGTCCACTGTGGAAGCCTGTGCCTTGCTGCGGGGCTCTCCGTGGTTTCCCCGCAGACCCGGCACCGGGGAGCACGCAGCCAGCCGCTTAGTGACAGAGTGAAGGGACTGCGCCTACACTCCTCAGCCCTGACCGGCACCGGCACTGTCCCCCGTTTCCGAATTCCAGATGCAAAACAGCTGGGCTTTTCCAGCGCCTTTCAGGCGGACTTACTAAAATCTGTTGGAGTATTTTTAGCTGCTCCTTATAATGCTTTATTGAGGAGAGGCCTTTTGTTCTTCATTATTCCATTTTGTTGTGCTGAATGAGTTTCTTGTCCATTTGGGTCCTTTTTGTGAAGCATCCTGACAACCTCGAGTAGTTTCAGTGGCGCATCAGTCTTGAAACTCCTGAATGGCTTCAGTGGGCGAAATTGCCGCTGACAGTAGAGTCACCCTTCGCTATTGTGTCAGTTCCCATCATTGGCTATTGGCCCATGTATTAGATGTTGAAAACATGGACAACCGCAGCGTGAAAATAAATGCCAAGATTGATTGACCAGAAAGAACAAGAGAGTAATTTGCTAAGTTTGAAGTGGTGGTCTCCCCTGGCCCTTGGACATCTGCAGTTAGAACCCAGCCAGTAATGAACAGAGTACGTGGCCCTTTGGCCGCTTTCCCATAGATGCTCTCAGTTAATCCTCACTGTGCCCCAAGTTATATCGTGTCTCTCAACTCCAAATCCTTTTTTGTTACAACTATATCACCTTGCCTTCAGTCAAATTTTATTGTAGTTGAGATACAGAAATTTCTCTTCTGCAAGAAAAATAGGGGAGAGTGCAGGATCTTTCTTTTCTCTATCTCCAACCAGTAAATCATACACCACTTTTAAAAGTGTATCTATTTAAAAAAAAAAAGGGGGGGTGCTCTATATAGAATCAGACTCTGTTTGACACACATAATTTTAAAAACCAAGTTTTAAATACATACTGTGTGCTCAGCACTGATCTAATTATTTGTAATCCATTTGCTCATTTAATCCTAGCAACATACCCTAAAACATAGTTGTTTTTTCTTCATTTTCATGGATCAAAAATGTGAGGCACAGAGAATGAACTAAGGGGCTGTTGACCCACCCCCTTATTTTATCAATGAGAACCGAGTAAATGAGCTAGACTGAGGCTCTTGGCTCTTTTTGAGGAATTTACATGGTGTTTCGTGAAACAAACCTTGTATTAATGAACCCGACCTAGCCATCTGTCACGATGGAGTCACTGCTTCCCTGACTTCCACATGTGCCTCAAGAAGAAGCCGCCTGGGACAGTTATAGTCACACACACATATTCTGTGTTTTTAACAGCTTCTGACCAGAGGTTAGACAGCTTTACTCTTGTGTTTATTTTATTGAGGGGGTGTCATATCATTATTGGTCTCACGTTCCTGTTTTGTCCGTCGGAATGAAATTTTAGCTTTAAGAAGTACTCCCTTTACCAAAAGACGTAGCGACTGTTCCCTTCGTGGAGGGCTGTTGCACAGACATTCAGCTACCTCTTCTCTGTGTTGGTTGTTGCTAAAAATTATGAGCCAAAATTTGAAGAGCTCCTTCTCATTCCCCTCAATTGCTTTGTGTCTTTTTTTCTCTTAAATATTAGGGCAAAAACTGCAAAATTGCTTAGTAGTTTATTTTCCTTGTGTTCTAAATACAGTCTGAATCCCTCTTAGATTCTCAACTTCTGGGTTAATGATTAGTCATTTAGTCAATCAGAAATGCATTTGAGTTGTTTTAAAATAAAAATACAGAACATACACAAAATTATAAACACTTCAAAGATATAGCTTGAGTTTTACAGACAATTGTGTTGTTAGTGAATTCCAGAACCTCTTATGCTGAAGTGTAAACATCAGGTCTTTAGCCTTTGGATATTATGGACACTGTGAAATTGGCAAGTGTTAAAAATGCTATACTCCTAAATTGGAAAGATTTGATCATATGAAGTTAATCAGTCCTTCCAGAGAATATTTAGTGTTGCAGCTTATTTTAACTTGAAATTTTGCTGTTAAAATTAATTTGTAGGACTTTTCAGGATAACATTCAGATAACCTTCATAATTTTCAATTTTCAAGTAAGTAATATGGAATCGCAGCAGTAGGAGGACATCTCCCTTACATTTCTTACCAGATAAATTATTTTCTGCTGAGGGAAATAATGGAAATAAGAATAAACCTGTAAGTATGAGATGTGACTCTAAAATGGCATTACTTTAAATAAATAGCAAGTAGAAAATTACACATGCATTTGGATGCTGTCCTTTGCAAAGTGGTTATCTTAAGGGACTAACTGCTTATTTGAATGAGGTCATTACTCAGAACATTTAGGGGGAGCTCTTCTTGTTGCCTTGAGAACTGGCAGCAGAGTTTTTGTGTAAATCTTCACTCTCTGAAAGTGGGTTTGACTTATGATATAGTAAAAGGTCACATGCAAACCAGTTGGGTGGTGAGACTCACTGGCACCACGCTTAGAGAACATGCTAGAAATATACAGTAGTGACACTCAGTTTCCTGAGAAACCCCTACGCTCATTCTTGGAACTCTTGTAGAGGTGCTGTTCCGAGGACGCTGTGACCAGTGGAGGTATCTTTTCAATAGGGTCTGAGTCTTGGGTGCCTGCACCCTCTGCTGTCCTGGAGGCTCTCCACTGGCTCTGCAGGGTCTCCTGGGGTCCCTGACGGCTGCTGAGACTCAGCCTTGCATTTCTCTATTGATCCATATCAACTCACTGTTTGGGCCTCTTTGGTACCTTTTGAAAATCCCCAGGACATTTGGGAGCCTACGGTGGCTCCCAGTGCTGTGGACCCATCCTGGTGTCCCCCTGCTCCCATCTGCACCTTGCTTGTGCTGAGACGAAGGAGGCTGTCTCCCCAGAGAAGCTCCTTGCCTCCTCGCCTCTTTAGCACCGTGGGAGCTGCGATCCTTACACCCCTGCGCCAATGTGCCTGTGCACAGTGAACACGGGCACATTCCTGTGGAGTTCCGTTCTGTGGCTGTGTATGGCATAACCACATTATGCCATAGCGTTAACGCGTGTTAACATTTTGTTACATTTGCTGCAACTATTTTTTACAATACATTTGTATTTTGTTTAATAAATAAAATGTTAAATATACCACTAAAGCCCCTCTCCCCCGAGCCCTCCCTTTCTCCTTCCTCCCTCCACAGAGGGAACCACCCTCTTGGAGTCTCCTGGTGTCCTCCTCATGCAAGTGCAGGTCTGTAATACTAATGTGAACCTCGAGCCCGGTATGTTTGGAATTAGTTTTCACAGTTTAGAAAGTTAACATGATCCCTGTACTGTACACAACAGCCCAGCAGCAACTGGGCCAGCAGCTCATAATCAAATATATTAAATTTCTGCAGCAGCCTGAATCAACATTCACACTAAGTGGATTAAATACATATTTTAAGTTAGGTGCCATCCGTTTGGTTGATGCTTTGCCATCAAAAGAGATTAGTGTAAACTTATAAAGGAACTTCTGGGTTTCGGGGTTTTGAAGTTTTAGATACTGAATTGTAGACATGGACTTACCTTTGAGACATATGTACAGATTCTTAATTCTGTTCCTTCTGCTTGTTAATTTCCTTAAGTTTTGCTTTGACCACAGCTGCCTCTCTCCTGCTTGCGTCAATAATTATTCTTTTGCCGATTTCTTGAGTTGACTTAGTTTATGTGTTTTATTTATTTTTTTGTAGTGAAGGATTTAAAGGCTGTGCCTGTACTTTCTGAATGGAGTTTTGATTTATCTCATAAGTCTGTCTAGTAGTGTTCTTATTTTTATGGTTTATAAAATAATCTCATTACTTTATAAAAACCTGCCTTTGTCTCTGTATGTACTTGGTACAATGGTTTGTAATGTCAAGGTATCAGGATTTTTTCGAGCTCTAGTCATTAATTTCTAGTGTTACTGCGTTGCGGTTTCAGTGTTTATGAAGTGTGCTCTTAACCTAATGACTTTTTTAATGACAAAAGCTTATTATAACTGAATTTTTAAATGAGTGATATCTTTCCAAATATGTTTATTCTAACCATGTTTCTATTCAAAAATTTCTCACTCTCGTGTTAGAATTGCTTCCAGAGTCACCACCCAATAGAAACAAAAGCAACAGTCTTTGCTTTATAGTTTAATTTCTCAGATTGATTTAGCCATTTACCTTTTCTACCTTACCTTGCTCCAAGTATTGAATGGACATTTTCAAAAAGTAAATCTAAACTTAAGGGATTAAGAACTCACCACCACTAAAGCTGTTAAAAAATGATAGTCTTCGCCAAAGAAAAAAAGGGGGGGGGGAATCCCAGTTTTTAGAACAATGGCATTATTGAGAAAAGTATCTTTTTTCGTTCCTTTTTTCACCCACGCACATATCGATGGCTGTTGCATCAAAGGGCAGCATGCTTTGTAAAGAGAGATCTCATTGCCTTATTTATGATCACACATCATGCAATTCATTTTATGTTACTTTCTTAAAAGTCACAGAGCTTTTATGAGCAGCAGTAGAAATAAGTGTACTGTGCTCAGTTGAGAGCTAATCTGTCACTTAATGCCCCCAAATTCTCACTCCAGTTGTTAGTTTCTTGCTTTGGCTTTGACTGGGCCCTATCCATTTTCAGAGCCTGGCTTTTCTCCAGAGAGGAAACTGTCTTTGGGGAAATAGTCCTGTAGACAAATGAGATGAAGAGTAGAAACCATTTTGCCCTCCCAGCGAAAGTATTAAGGCATTATCACGTAGGCAGCAGTTACTGTAATTATAACATGGAGAGGAAACAATATAAATGGTGGGATATCACGTCTTAGTGCTTCGATCTCATATACATTTGAAGAATTTTTTAAAAATTGAATTTGTTGGGGTTACATTGGTTAATAAAATTATATAAGCTTAAGGGGTACAAGTCTGTAATACATCATCTGTATATTGTGTTGGGTGTTCATCACTCCGAGTCATGTCTCTTTCTGTCACCATTTATCTCCCCCATTTTTTTTTAAGGTACTCATGTAACTTCGCTTTGGTTTGTTCTAGTCGTCCTGTTCCTCCCAGGAGAAGCTGCATCAGTTACCATACCAACCAACGCCAGATGAATTACACTTCTTATCGAAACATTTTTGTACTACCGAAAGCATCGCCACAGAGACCAGATGCAGGAACACGCCTATGCGCCCCCGTTCCCGCAGTCTGAGGTGTGTAGACCGCATTGAAAATGTTATTTAATTGGATTATCTCCTGTCAGCCATTTCAAGGGGAGACTTGGCCTGTAATTCATGTCTGTGTTCATTGATTTGTGAACGACTATAATTATAGAGTGATTTTCCCATCCCACAGGATATTGTTAATTACCATTGAAAGATATCTTACTATTTTTCTTTTAAATGCTTAGAATTTGCCAATTTTTGTAGTTGCAGTAATCCCGGTGGACTGAGTAGGGGCCACCGATAAAACCTTGTAGCCATTGGAAATTTCAAGATGATCTAATTAGGGTGCAAGAGGAGTTAACACTTTAAGAGGGAGAAGTTCGGCCAGAAGGGAAGACAACACGCTTAGGTTCACATATGGAATTTATATTCCACATTATAAAGGTCCTCCCAGAGCTCTCATAATTTTTTCCCATCCTAAGTCTTACTTTTTCCAGGATTTCAAACAAACTATTAGCAGTCCGTGTCCCTTGAATTTTGTGGATGCCGCGTGTAGTTCATTCGGCTTCGAGTAGAGCCAGTTTTACTTTGACCTTGTTTGAAGAAGTCCCCTGTGTCGCAGTTTGATTCTTCAGGACGCGGACTCTAAGTCAGAGATCAGGATGTCCCTGAGGGAGAGCTCAGGCCCGCCGTGTGCGGGGTTTGGGGAGCAGCCACATTGGGCAGGGGGGGGCAGCTCACAGCCGGGTGGCCCACCCCACAGGGAGCTCTGGGGTGACGTGACCCGTCAGGGGTGCGCCTCCGGTCCAGTGGCCCGTGCTTTCATCTCCGCCACCGTGGGTGGGGTGACTGCAGCTGGGGCCATCTCTGAAGGGACCGACAGCTGAAGGCTTCTGCGATCCCAGCAACTGGGCCAGCAGGTCCTTCTCTGCAAGGGGACAGAGCAGGCCATCCCCGGGCCCACCACAGGATGAGGTCTTGACGGTGTAGGATAAGGTTTTATTATAAATATTTTGTCAGGAGTGCAGTTGAATATTAAACTTTACTGAGAAGGGTTTTTCCCTCTGTACCTTTCTTATTTTGTATCATAAACTGATAATAAATATAATCACACTTGGTAGTTGTGGGCTGTTAGATTATTTTGAGATATGGAATAAAAGCCCAATTTTTCGCATTCACTTAAGGGCATTGTATTTTACTACGCAGGTGCCCTTTAGGTTTTATGAAAGCAGTTTCTAGGGTATCTAATGCAAGCTATCTCCTCCCAGGAATATTAATACTCACACTGAAGTTGCACGACTTTATACCATTAAGAAGGAAACAAACCTACTACTGAAATAAAGAAAAACACGCCACAGTTGTGTGCCTCTGTTTCATATTGTACACAACGCCTACCTTAGCATCCCAAATAAATATTTGCTAGGCTAGAAAATGGATTTCAGTGGTGACACCTGGGCCATGGAGGCTCTTGAGCCTCTGCAGTGGGCCGTGGCAGAGCGCAGGTGTACAATGCGAGTGTGAAATTACACACTTCCACCTGTGCTCGATGTTTTCGTGGCCACCCTACTTGCTTTTATACTGCAGTGTATTAACTGGTTTCCAGGGCTAGTGCACAGGCGCATGCTACATGCAGGATATAGCGCAACTTAAGTCTGCTTTCCGCACTAGTTATGTAGTGTAGCTATAGTGTAGCTATAATTAATCTGTGGCATTCCTCTCCTCCAGCTTTTTTTTGAATCCTCTTGAGGGTGTCTGTATGTTTGTGGGTAGGGATGTGTATACTAATGACTGATTTTGTAGTTTAGTACCTAATATGTTGTTTTTTGGGGTGTTATATTTTTTTTTTTACGAAGGTTGCATAGTAGTTTTGATGCATCCAATTGTTTATAAATAAAAGGCTTATTTTCATTTCACGCTGTGGCAAGTTTAAAAGGGTAATTTGCTTTGCTTGCAGCCCTGGACGTTCTCCCGCCTGCTGTGACCATGAAATAATTATGATGAACCATGTCTACAAAGAAAGGTTCCCAAAGGTAATGAGTTGAATTGAAGGTGCCCAGCATTGAACAAACAGGAACTGTAGGTCTAATGTCCATAAGGGGGTTGTAAGGGGTGTAATGGTTCAACCTAGAAATGACTTGCATAAACAGCACAGCCTTCCTAGGAAGGCAAAATCACTAAACATTTCTAAAAACTGCTGAGAGGTAGCCACGCTTTTCTGTGTGCTGAACTGGCCCCAAAGTGAAGCCTGCTGTTGTAGCACCATTGGGGGGTGCTCTTGACCCTTGCACCCCTCATGCCCATGGTCTGGGCCCCAGTTGTCTTGTCAAGCAGAGACCATTTATCTTTCTTAGAAGCTTGGTATGCCATGAAAACCTTTTATTTTTTTAACCTGATTTTTCTTTTTTATGACATCCTATCTCTTTAGCAATGATATGCCTAACCTTATTACTTTAGAAGGGAAGGCATGGATGCTATGTTCCCCAATAGACTGGCAAAGGAATTTTTAAAAAATATATGCTTTTATTAATTTGAGAGAGAGAGGAAGCGGGGGGAGAGAGAGGAACATGTATGTGAGTGTGAAACATTGATCAGCTGCCTCCTACACACCCCCTACTGGGGATCGAGCCCGAAACCCGGGCATGTGCCCTGACCAGAATCGAACTGCGACCTCTGGGTACACGGGACAGTGCCCAACCAACCGAGCCACACCAGCCAGGGCTGGCAAAAGGAATTTGAACCGAGTGTGAGAGGCCTGGGAGAAGGGTTGCCACCAGGCTGCAGGGCGCCAGGCCGCAAGGAGCTGCTGTCTGATAGCCCCGCCACCTCGTTCCCACGGCTTTTCCACGAGTGTTCCTACACGTGTGGGAGGGCAGTTTCTCTGTGGTGTTCCTGCCCCCCACCTCTAGCCCTCAGCAAGAGAACAAAAGGAAATCTTTGGATCCATAAATCAGGAGTAGAGTACTTATTACTTGTAATGAACCCAACATTGATGTCATTGACTAAAGCCGTTTCAGCTATTTATCACGCTCACTCGTTCACCAGGGAACCAGTCCTGACTATACTAGTTACTCCTGGTTGGGACTTCGGAGGGGAGCCGGAGGCAGAGGGAACCCCCCTGATTAGGCAACAGTGTAAGAGGAGAATTGACTAGGCGATAGGGGGTCACCGGGAAGGAAATGAAAGCTGGAAAGGGAGTTTAAATTGATGTTACCAAGGGAATGCCCTTGGCCTTGTGCACATGTCATGCAGCTTTTTGAGAAAAGCATCAAGGTCGTATAAGATGCTTGTTCCGGGTACCTGAAGACAGCCGAGAAAACAGACTCGGCCCACCCTGTGGAACTCTAGCCATAGCCCTGATTTTTGAATAGGCAGAAACAGAGCCATTTGATGCTTTCGTCAGTATGTTTAAAGCTGAACATCTGAAATGAAAGCATAACATCTCACAGATAGTAAGTTATCTGAAGAAGGTTCCATGGACCATTTTACGTTTGATAGGGCATAGGAAAAATTAATTATCACCCTGGGATGTTCAGTTTCCCTCCCGCACCTCAGATCTTTCTTCCATATGGTGCAACTTCTTTTTCAAATAGACTTTATTTTTCAGAGCAGTTTTAGGTTCACAGCAAAATTGAGCAGAAAGTACAGAGTTCCCAAATACTCCCTGAACCCACACATGCACAATCCCTCCCGCCAACACACCCGCCAGAGTGGTGCACTTGTTACAATCGATGAACCTACGCAGACACATCTCCCAAAGTCCATACTTGGCATCAGGGTTCACCCTTGGTGCCATACATCCCATAGGTTTTGAGGAATAAACAATGACACGTACACATCAGTGTAGTATCATTCAGAAGCGAGGCTTCTTTTAAACTTAATTTCTAGAATTATATTTAATAACTTGAGGAAGTCTCTGAAAATGCAGGAGAAATGTGAGGATTTGAGTTGTCCAAATATATGTTTCCTTGTATTACATGTGTGAACACATCTTCTCTAAATAGGCCACGGCTCAGATGGAGGACCGGCTGAAGGACATTATCACCAGCTACTCTCCCGACCACGTCCTGCCCCTCGCAGACGGCGTGCTGAACTTCACTCACCATCAGATCATTGAACTGGCTCGAGATTGCTTGGATAAATCCCACCAGGGTCTCATCACCTCGAGATACTTCCTTGAATTACAGCACAAGTTAGACAAGTTGCTACAGGAGGTAAGGACCGTGAAGATACACTTTTCTGACTTGTTTAGCTTTTCCCCTGAAAAAAAAAAAAAAGAAAAATTTTATGAGAACATTTGCTTAACAAGTTTTAACCATGAGATGGATTTCATATTCCAGGGAAGCAAAGAAGGAAAAAAAACTGATCGCTACTTGCTATAAATTGTTTCTGGTCATCACTTATAGTAATAGAAAGTTAATGTAATAACCTTTACAGGAACCTTGGGACCCAGCAATCTGTGGCCTCAGGATAAGTGGATTGTGAAGGATTTTGAAGGAGGGATACTTCCCCTCCCCATGTAGCCATAAAGTTGTAAATTGCCAGAGTGTATGTGTATTGTTTGATGATGCTATCTGGTTCTAATATCTGGAAAAGCTAAATGGAAAATGGCTGGCTTCTTCCAGGCTGTTGTATCCTATTAATTAACCTGCATGTGGTATTGGCTGGTAAATGGCAACTTATATTTTCATTAGTGTCGGTTCTTCTTCTAACAAAATACCCAATATCCGAAATGACAGGTAAACACAGGTCTTGTCGAGGTCTGACTCTTGCATACCTGGCTCCTGATAATACCCGGGACAGGAAGGGAGTGTGTATGGTGGAATGGAATTAGTGCATAATATTGCTATTCTGATAGAAATGGATAAGCACAGCCTCCAAGTAAAACCTCTTTAGCCTATATATTTAGGGATGTTGTATTTCTGTATCTCAGAGGAAATAAATTATGCCCATGTAAACACAATCGAGGGGGGTTTTCTGTAAGCATGAGTATGTGAGTAATTGCATGGAACCGAAGGAAAATATTAGCATCCTAGTTACCTAGAAATTCATCTGGCCCGCCCCTACCGAGCTGAGTTGTGGCGAGATGAGAAGATCCCTCTCTGGGTAGCAGCTACTGTTTCTCTTCCCTTTCCCGCCTCACCCTCCCGACTGAGTTTTCTAGTCTCTGTTCCCATTTCTCACATTTCAGCCTATTGCAGCCACTAAGGCAGCGTTTCTCAGACTGTCTTTGGGGATGAGCACATTGTTTTATTTTGTTGTTGTTAATTTCCAATTTGATATGGACCAATTCTCCTATAAATTAAAATGAAAATTAATTTACAGGGAAGCGATGGTGCACTGGGTGTTCCCGCCGCGTAGAATTGCTGTGAGAGTTGCTAAGTGCTTACTCGTGATGGTGCTCGTCTCATCACAGGCCTTAGCGCTGTGGGCTGCTCCAGTCTCAGGCCGCCCTCGGAGTGGCGCTATCCTAGAAACTCAGGGTCCGAGTGGGAGAGACGGTCTGGTACATTCGCCCGGGGTCAGGCGTGGCGTGCGGGGGGACTCCGTCCACATGTGTTGAATAAATGGCTGACTCCCTCTCACTAGACTCACTGTTGTGAGTTCAGTTCTTCCTCCTGTTCTGTAACCAGGCTCAGCCCCTCATGCTCACCGGTCTGCCCCCTTCCATTCCTAACCCCTCGAATTCATGCTTCTACCTAACATGCTTTAGTGGCTCCATTCTGCCTGCAAGTGAAAACAAGGATCACCCCCAAATCATCTCTTAACTCCCTGGCACCTCACTACATCCTTTAGTGGCTCCATTCTGCCTGCAAGTAAAATCAAGGATCACCCCCAAATCATCTCTTAACTCCCTGGCGCCTCGCTGCACGCCTGGTGTTTATTTGGCTCCTTGGCGACTGGGAGGGAGGCAGGTGGGAGGAGGAAGATGCATGTGTATACATGCCAGAACATTCGATCTGCTCGGATTTGTTGTCAAGTAATCTAAGTCTGCGGTTTCTTTTAATTAAGTCAACTTCTAGAAAACACAGAAAATACTACGTATATTACTTTTTATGAGAATACCGTGAAAATGGTATTTGTTAAATGGAGCATTTTTAAACAGAAGAGGCAGATAAGAGAGGAACTCTAATACTCCTCCCCAATCCCACGTTCTGTCCCTGGAGGTTGCCATCATTACCAGCTTGGTCCCATGTTTTCTTCCTTCACGGGCATCCCCCTGAAAAGGGTGCAATCGATATAAAAAGCCTACTTACACTGAAATCTCCCACTTAATTTTGTTTCTGTATAAGAGACCCAACAGATTGTTTCATGCCAATTAAAAAATCTTAGGGTTTCAAAAAATCATCAGAATGGACCATGTAATAAATAAAAAATTGTTGATTTTTAGAGAAATGTCTTTTTTGGAGCAGAGAAGCATGTGTGCTTGTGGCATAAAGGGCATTGTTGGGTATGAATAAGAAGGTTTTCTTGTTTATCTTCACAGATAAACATTTCCTTCGGTCCTTTTGTGAAAATCAGAACTGTCTTCACAGTCGCATTCACAGTGTCCTTTCAGAGTTCAGAGCTAAACGGTCACAGGGGAACGCGCCCCTTTTGGACAGAGCGGAATTGCGGGAGCTTGCCCGGCCTTCCCCCC